GTGTAACGTAGTACCAATTAATATTTGAATGTTGAAGATTTGAAGATTTTTTATGAGCACTAAAAAATTTATTAGAAGCTTCTCCGAGCCAAAGAGCATTAAATCATTGCGAAAACACTCTAAATTCCATAAAAAAGGGCACACGCAACGGCACTCCCAGATTTCTACTCATAAACGAATGTAAACTACTTCATTATGCGGTGAAAATATGGTCTTCAATTATAACATTATTGGAAGAATTTTTTTATATCGAAACGAAATATCGAAAATTATCGGAATGTGATTGCATGCTTCAAAAATGGTTTGGTTTTGATACAGCGATGGCAACCAAGGATTCCATGAAAACCGAAAAATCCTTGAAATTAGCGTAAATTTCATTTCATTTCATAATTGAGTGGCTGAAAAAACAAATTTTTCTTGGATTTGAGAATATTAACGATATAGTTTTGCTTTTTTATAGTATTTTTATTCAATATCCAATCATTATTAAATAAAATTTTCTCAGCGAATTCAGCAATGCTTACGGCAATTAAAATATTTACAAAGAATTTGGTACTGCAATGCTCAAAGCGAATAATCCACTGCGGAAAGCGAATTTTCTTCGGAAAGTATGCACCATATGCCAAATTTTTATTCCACTAATTTTTTTCTACTAATCAATACCATTAGAAAAACTTCCCATGGAAGTTGTGCGAATAGATTGAAATTTAGTGAAACCAATGTACCACTAAAAAACGTTTCCAATCCAAAAATTATAGCCCACGAGATTTTATGAATTTTCTTACAAAAAATTTTGAATTGCATTTATTTTCATATAATTTGAGATGGAAACTTTTTACTGATAAAATTTGGATGAAAATTAATGGCATTCAAAAATTCATTGAAAGCTTTTCCGAGCCAAAAAAATAATAATTCGTTGGGAAAACGAAAGTTCCATGCAAATTTATTTCGAGCGATGAAATAATTTTTCACTAAGCGGATTTTACATGGCATGAAATCCATTCTCGGTTGACGTTGTGCCAATAACAATAATCCAATTCGTCTACTTAAACAGGTCGGTGATCATCGTTCGCGACTTCGCTAATCTACAACATGCTGGTGGTGTTCGTTTTTCTGACATTCGCATTAGTAAGTTTTTTTCGTTCCTAAAAAAATTTTAGTGAATAAATGGCGATTCGGTAATAATCGAGTATTCTAAGGCTATTTTAATTTGTTAATAAAATTAAAAAATTCATAAAAAATAAATAAACACAAAAATAAATAAATGAATACATAAAAAATTCGAAATAAATTAAGCGACTTATCTCCATCGTTTTCAATCATTCCACCTAACTTTGTCCTCTAAGAATTTAGAGTTAAGAATTTAGAGAATCTATTTTCACCTTCGAACACCATCAGTGGAACTATTGATACCATCAGTACCATCAGTGAAACTATTGATTTTAGTTTGCGCGACCATCAATCGCCGTCGGATCAACAACGACACTGAATTACAACAAACAATTTTCCACAAGTACGCTATCATCTAATTCAACGAATACAGCCAATAACTCTTCCACCATTGAATCGACAAAGGTTATTTTTTAGAACTGAGAATCTGCTAACAGACATCACTTAAAAATTGAAGTTTCTGAAAATTTATACAATACATTCTAATAAGATTTGATAAATTTAAAAAACGAAGGCATTCGGAAAAAGAATGAATGAAAAATTTCTGGCCTTTTATAGTATCCAAAAAAGAAGAACTTTCGGGAGCCAATGAATTAGGAATTTTAATTGCTTCGCTCACTGCTCACTATCCATTTTCATCGAATTTTCCTATTTTCTTTTGCATTTGATTATTAATTGGAAAAAATTTGTGAATTATGAATTTCAGCCCACAGAAGCACCAATTACCTATATTCTCAGACTGTGTCGTAAAATTGAATGCCCCATGGGTATGGTGCAAAAAGTGAGGAAAAGAATTCTTCACTGGTGCTCTTATATGTGTGAATGCGCCAAGGGTTTGGAAATGAAGGGATTAAAGTGCCAAAAGCCTATTACGACTACTGAACTAATGACGGTAAAATTTTATCAGTTTTTGAGAAGTTTTTTCGGTGCGCGAGTATTCTTTTAGATATTAAAGATTTTTAAAGGACTATGGATTCGCAAATTATATACAATGTTTTTTTTACACCGTCTATAAATCGATGTGACTAATATGCGGTTCACTAGTCGTTATCCTTAGCTTTGTCCGATTGTCCTCAAAAAACAGTAATAAAGCTAAAATTCATTTTCATGCACTAGTCATGGGAACCCCAGTCAAAAGCAGTTGAAGCTTTACGCTCATTTTCTATTACTGGAATAAAATTTAATGACATATTCTAGACTGTTCCAAAGATAATGGTTTACGTCCAACGATCTTGCGGTGCAAATATGATCTACATTGAACGGTGTGATTTTCATCCTATTTCTGGTCATATGAGAAAGTGCCAAAAAATATCCAATTGCGTTTGTGACGTTCAACTCTATTTTGCCAGTGATGGCTTATGTTTAAAAATACCGAAGACGACCAAAAATCCTGCACGACTTGCGAAAAAAGTAAAAATGGCGGTACGAATATTATAGTAATTGAAATCGCAAAATTTTTTTTATTTTATGGCAATATCAGTTATTCATTGATTACAGATATATATAAAAAGATTTAATGTTTGCATCCACCTTTATTGTAAATTCTTCGAAAATACAAAAAGATTCTAAGAATTCAACAAAATGCAATTTTGCTTTGTCTTTACTTTATTATATCTTTCGAGTATATACCGTCTTATCAGTAAAAGAGAACATAATGCGATATCGAGCATTGCGCCTGAGGCATTACGTTTTTTTTAATAATTTTTTAGATAATAAACTTAAAATAAAATGAACATTTTTTTATCGAATGGTACCAAATATTGCAAATAAGTACCAATGGTGGCCAATTATAATACGTTATTGCATAAATATTTAGTTTATTCTTTTTCTGTGGAAATAGGTTTGCGCAAATCGATGAAAGATTTTTTGGTCCTTTTGATCTTTTTGGAACCGAAATTACTAATTTTAAATTTGATGAGCTGTTGAATTTAGTGTAGTTGAATGTTATCGCTGTTTCAAAATCATATTTAGAAAAATTCTTTTTGCACGATTCGCGGACTTAAAGATTTAGTTAGCAAATCATTTCGTAATTAGAATGCGCGAGAATTTCAATTACTATAATATTCAGAATTTCAATTTTTATAATATTACAGTGAGGTCATAATTACGATGCGGTTTCTCGATTTCTTCTTTGGACCACCAACAATTTAAATCAGTTCTCACACTGTTGCATCCCTGCAGATTACCACTGAAGCTTATTTTATATTCACTTATTCATTTAAATTGTATATTCGAATGAAAAATCAAAAGCGATTCTCTTATTATAATCTTTCAGTCATCCGCAGATAAATTTTTTGCATTGGAATTTTGTCCGTAGAGAAGTATCTCTTCAAATTTAAAAACCATGCTTTTACGAATTTTACCATTAATATTATTAATATTATATTATACTATTACTATTATATTATATTATTATAAATATTAATTATTAATATTTATCAATATTATAAAATATTAAAGAAAAATCGAATCTCATGAATGTCACTTATTTCAGTTTGATAAAATTTTATTGATATCAGTTACAATGTAAATATAAATATAAGAAATAAATGTTCCATAATCTATAAATTATATTAATAAATTTATCTAAAATTTATTTTTTATAAAATAAATCTATAAGACGTATAAAATTAAAATTATTATTTTAATTTAAAATTATTTGTATAGATGACCAGAATTAACAAAGTCTTCTTCTTCTTCTAACAGCTCTCACCATTACTGGTTAGGCTGGCTCCAACGGCTATAAGGGTAAGACGCTTCCAAGCGGCGCGATCTGATGCCATCGTCGACAGTAATGTAAGCCATTCCTTTTTCCATCGTCTAAGTCCATATATTGCTGGTCCACCTATACGTTCAAAATCTTTTCTCACCGTATCAGTCCAGGTCTTGATTGGCCCACCTCGCTTTTGACGCCAACCGTTACACGGTTTAGCAAATAACGAAATATGAGTCAACTCGTGTGGTGGACGACGGAGAATGTGCCCTAACCAGCGAAGGCGGCGCTCTGTGATAACATTATTTATGCAAGTGGTATTTGAACGAAGGTGGATGCGATGTAGTGAGATTTTATCCACTCGGCGAACCCGTAATATATACCTTAGACAGGAGTGGTCAAAGGCAGATAACTTCTTAATATCCTCCACTCTCATTGGCCATGTCTCAGAACCATATAATAAGATCGAACGGATCACGGCAATATAGATGCGGACTTTCGTTTTTATGGTGATTTCACGACGATTCCATAAAGGTTTCGTCAAGCGGAAGAAGGCATTTCTAGTTGCCGTGATCCGAGTTATAATATCATCTTTTAATAAAGTATAAACTAAAACACCGAAAAACCCTTAGGAAATCGTTCTTTAGAGAATTAGCTACTCGCGGTCTTTTTCAATAGCCCTGAATTGCCTCGGCATTTTGCTTTAAATCCATTTGCATATTTATGTAAGATAATATAAAAGTGTGGTGCAATGACATGCAAACATTCGATTGCCCATACTACAAATGTTAAAACTATTATTGAATTGAATTTTATTCACGAACTATCCAAATTTATGAAAGTATTTCCATGTTTTGTAATTTACTATCAGAAGTAAACATGAAAAATTTTGATATCGAAGCGATGATTTTGCTTGTAAACAACATACGATAGAAAGTGCATTTAAGGCGATAATTTCGAGAAGTTTTTATTTATTGCTTGGTTGCTCCGATTGGATTTCTTCGGTTGGTTTGCTTAGAAATTTTTTCTTAGATCTTAGATTTCCGCTTATATTCGGTAAAGATTATTAATAATTTATCGCTTAATGCATTCATTTAATTACAATTTTAATGGAATTTTGCGCATTTGTGTGCCATAAAAGTGATATAAAATTGATATGAAAAATTTTAATGGTAAAGGAAAAGAAAATCGAAAATTGGTACTGATAATGTTCATTTTAGTCCTAAAAATAAAAGGAATGCTCGTCATCTTTCTAATAATTGTTGGATTGATTGCTAATTCTGTTGATTGTGCAAATAAGTGTCATTCATCTATGACGGACAAAGAGCGAGAAATCATCGTAATCATTTAATTAGAGTTTATTTAATAGTTCATTCAATTAGACAAAATTTTTCAGAGAAATTTTAAAATGAACCGTTAAACGCTAACGTGCATAGAAAATTTTTCAGAAATACGGTACCATTATTTCGAATAATATTTCAGTTAACCTTTGTAATAATTTTAGGGCTGCCCGCTGATATCTGCAAGAAGCATAGAAGATGATAATTGTGATGTAGATTGGGATAAAGTCACAAGGTGTCTTAACAAAGAGCGTGGACTGGTTCGAATAATCTTCGTAGAGGCTAAGCCTGTAGCGTCAGTCGAACCGACTGAAACTGACGATTGAGAATCGTGGACACAAATTTCAATTCAACTTTAATTGGCTTTTATAACTTGAAAAATACAATTGCTATTGACATTCTGTAAAATGCGAATAAGCTTTTCAACAAATTTCTTTCGTTTATTTCTTCGTCAATACAATATCAATTTTTTAACTTTTAAAGATTTCCAATTTGTAAGTTTAAATTTTGTTTAAATTTTTATTTAATTTAATTTACTTTGATTATTAAGCTTAAAGTGGAAATAAAAAGGATGAAATAAGTTATCACGAAAAATTATTAGTCAAGAGAGAAGTGACTTTAAACTGATTAAAATAAATAAAACTTTAGCTCTGAAATTTTTTGAAATTATTATGAAAAGATTATTATTATTATAATTAATTTAATGAGATAATTTAATATCGGAAAAAGAGATATAATTTAAAATAATAAGGCTATGAATCAATTCTCCTAAATAAAAGAATATAAAGGCTCGTCAAATTTTGAAAAAAATTTAAAAATTCAACTATAAAATACTACAAAAATGAGTCTATTTTTCTATTAATGATATAAATATAAATATATAAATATAAATATGTATAGATATATATAGATTAAATGAAGAATAGCGAAATATTTGCGATAGTTATGATTATTTTCGCGACTGACTTTGGAACTTTTCTATATTTTCAATAAAGATAAAATACTGTGGTGTTGACAGAAGAGAATTAAATTTTTCCAAGAGGATTTATTTATTTAGACTCGATTTTTTGTTCTTTCTGGCAATGGGCACAATTTCTGGGTTAATTTGGCTCTATTAACAATTAAGATGAGGCTCCTTAGCCAAAGAGCCACTCGGAAATATAAATGGGTCCTTATAGCACCAATTAGATTTGATTTGTGATATCGTTTAATCAATTCACCTCAAGAAAAAAGCATGATTCACTAATATTCTAATAATGTTATCAAGTGCTACTGCCTATAGTTTTTACTTTTTATCTTTTTTTGTCAATTCATCGAAAATATTGAAGGAGATCTTAGTAAATCTTAAAATTGTTGTGATAAATCTATCACAAGATTATCAAAAAGAAAATTCACTTACGCGATGAATAAAAAATATAAAACTCGAATTGCCATATTAACGCACCTCTCGCATTTGTGACTATAAAATAATCATTGAAATGATTTATTCCATAGAAACTGTCGCAACATTAAGAAATGTTGCCATATTTTGCTAAAATATATTTAACTGAATTTCTACTGCACATTTATATTGTTCATTAGTTATGGTTTGTTAAATATTATGGATCATTTAAAAAGTGGAATAAATTTAAAAGGTAAAAGTTTTCTACACATAAATATAAATATGAATATTTATTAAAGACGAAAAGAGCTGTTGTCAATCATTTAAATTTAAAATTCCTCTTGTAAGCTGACCAAATTTTTTAATAATAGTGGTACTAAATATTGAAACCAATTTAGGATATTTAAAAGCATCTTAGTTTTATGTTTCCGTTATATATTACTTATTAAAAGATATATTACTTATTACTTATTAAAAGTTTGCGTTTGTAGTTCGGAGTCGCCGTTTGGCTAGAGAACCTCATTTTAATAGCTGATGGAGCCACAATACCCCAGAAATGATGCCAATTGTTGGAAGAACAACAAATTCATCTATAATTTCAATAAAGAAATACTCTTGCAATCCTTGATTCAATCAATCCCACTGTATTCTACAAGGCTGAAAACACAGAAAAATCTAAAATCAATCCCAGCAATAAACATAATTATCGCAATTATTTCGTTATTCTTCGTCCAATCTCATATATAAAAATTTTTAATAAAAGAAAAATGAATTCATTTTTGTAATTTATAGCATTTTAAATCTTTTTGAAAGCTATTAATTCAACAAATTTTTATATTCTTTTATTGATTTATAGCCTCATTAGTTTAAATTATATTTCTCTTTTTGGGAAATTTCATTAATCTAATAATCTTTTCATAATAGTTTCAAAAAAATTAAAAAATTTAAGAACAAAAATTTAATCAACTTATCAACTTTATCAATTTTTTTTTTTCAAATCGCTACTAAATTACATTCTGAGAATGATAAATTAAATACAAATATAAAATGTAAATGCATATATATTTCCTTACTTCTAGGACGTTTAATATTAAAATGCTAAAAATTTTGAGAAAAAGGAGAACGAAACATTAGAAGATAATTTAAGGATAGTTGAGATATAATATTTTCGAGTTATCATAGGATACAGTTGGAATAAACTTAGATAAAAGAGGATTATGTGGACATTGAAATCAATGTTTCATATAAAAATCGTTTCGAATCCAAAAATTATATTCCGCAAGATTTTTTGAGCCTATATTTCTACGTTGCGATTAAACATTCGATTCTCTGGTTCTTACAGCAATAAATCAGTGTTAATAATACTGGCGACACAGCAAACTTTATGCAAATGCAAAAACTCCATTTCCATATTTTATCTAAGACGATATATAAATTGATTAATATTTTTATTAATTGATTTATGTTCATTTTGTGGCTCAAATTATAAATTATTCAACAAGTAACTTTAGTTCCCATTTATTATCTAATGAAATCAATTGGTTTCACTTAATTTCAATCTATACGCACAACCATACTTGGAAGTCTTTCTTGGAAATTCTTCGAAGTTTTTTTAAAGGTAAAATGTTTTATGATTTGGCATACGCCGCATATTTTCCAAAGAAAATTAAGCAGTGAATTATTCGCTTTGAGTATTGCAGTACCAAATTCTTTGTAAATATTTTTTGATTGTCGCAAGCATTGTTGAATTCGCTGAGAAAATTTTATTTAATAATGATTGGATATTAAATAAAAATACTATAAAAAAGCAAAACTATATCGTTAATATTCTTAAATGCCAAAAAAATTTGTTTTTTCAACCATTCAATTATGAAATTTCATACGCTAATTTCAAGGATTTTTCAGTTGTTTTTATGAGATCCACGGTTACCAACGCTATATTGAACGCTAAAACCATTTTTTATATTTTCTATTTTCTGAATGAATATATTTAGTTTTTAATCGAAGATGCTACGAAAGTTTTTGTTGATTTCGTTGAATTTCAATATTTAAATTCTTTGAGAAAAAGGTAAAAAATGAATAGCGAATATAATTTTAATATTATTTAATATAATACAAATAATTTATAATTTTACAGCTACTTTTTAGTTAAGAATACTAATTTTTGCAATGCTATAGAAGATTTTCAAAAACTCGAAAATTTAAGAAAATTAAAAAAGTTTGAGTAATTTGGATAAGAATAAAATCGCCCATGAATACCCATGATTAACTTTTATTTTTAAAAAATTCAAAATTAGTTGAAATAAACTTTATGCCATATAAAATATCAATTGAATGTAAAATATTAGGTCATCAGTCGAACGGATGAGAAGATCTTACTTTTGAGTTCATGAGTCCTACCAAATTCTTTATTATTTGCATTAGCTAAGGTTAGATACAAATCTAAATAAAGGACTGAAAATTAAGGTAATACTGCAATATTTTAAAACGAATAATTAAAAACATAAAATATAATAAAAAAATAATTAAAAACAAATAATTTATAAATTGAAGAAAAATGGTATTAGAGAACTATAATCTTTTTAATGAATCGGAAAAAATGTGAAAGAATTTCGAGAAATATTGGTCTAATCGCAATTTTCATAGGTCCATAGGTTTCAGATTTTTATAATCTTTTTCCACATCAAGGAAGAAATTTTCTAAGTGATTTCGATCCATGAATCTCTCATGGTAGATTTCATAAAATACATTTTTGCTTGTATGCGAAATAATTTTAAATCTTTTCGCTAACTCCAAGCTAAAATTTAAAATTTCGTTCAGTTCTAAAAAAAAAAGACAACAAGCCAGGCTGTTTTTAATATTTAGAATCTGTAAAGCCTATTACTATCACTATGATTCTTTACGCCAGCCTTGCATTAATGTTTAAAGATAACTGATAATTTGCAAAAGCGCCGTATATTGCTGTAGCATATAGCATACGTCGAAGATACATACTACACTATTGATCAACTTAAAAAATTCTATCATTGAAATTCAGCTAATCGCAAAATTATTGAATATTCGTTGTAAAATTATTTATTAATTGGATAAAAATTAAAATTAAATTCATTATTAAGATTCATTGTTATTATGTTTTTGAGTTTGTAATTTGACGAAATTATGAATTATTCAAATTTATTTAAATAGAAATTTTTAAAATTCAGGAAATTTGTAAATTTTCGCCACCAGGTACTATTTTTTTTATATCTTTAATATTTTATTATTTTTATTACACAATAGATCTATTTAAAAAATTTTTATATTTTATCAGTTTCCATAAAAATAAAAAATCTATTTTGAGCGATATTTTATAGCTATTTTTCTATTCTTCTCTGAATAATTTTTGAATAATGTAGAATCCGCTTAACATGAAAATTTAAATGATTTTTATCGACGATGATAATTTTTTTTTTTAAATTCAAATAAATTAAAATTCATTGCTTTCTTTATTACAGAGCAATTTTGTTGAAATGCATTAATTTTAATGTTAAGAGTCGTTAAATTTTGCTGTTATAATTTATTGATTTTATATTATCATTATATTATCACTACAGCGATAATAAAATCAAAATTCCCGGTTGATATGTGATAGTCGATGATATCAATTTTGTTTATAATAAATATTCCGATAAGTAAATAGCTAAATAGCTATAATATAAATAGCTATATATAAATAGCTATAGCTATAATCTGATTATCGCTTGAATATTTTATATTATGAAAAGGACAAAGCGTATTTTTGATGCGACACTAATCATCAGTCGTTCTATTCGAATATTTATCCATCAAAACTTCCAAATATTGGCAAATCTTTCCGAATGGTCTACATCAACTGACAATGGTAAAGCAGCATTAGTTGTGTACTTAGGTTTGGCTGAAGCTTTTCATACTATTTCCCATAGCAAA